TTATTTCTCTTAGAGTTTGGCACGGGTTTTAATAATAAAGTAGTAGGGTAAGTATAGAGTGGGTAGGGTAAATGATAAAGTAGGAAAGATGTTATATTAAAAAGAGTAAAGTGATAATAAAGTAGGAAAAAGAGTGTATTAAGAAGAGTAAAGTGATGGTAAAGTAGAAAAGAGAAAGTAGTTTGTAAAAAGTAAGTGATGTAAAAGTAATAAAAGTGAGGGTATTTTCTCAAAATCTTTCCTTAAAGGGAAAGGAAGACAAATAAAAAAAACGTCCCAAAAATGAAAGAATGACTAATAAAAAAGAACGGAGGGAGTATGATAAAATGTAAATATAAAATATTACTACCTTTGTCCCATATTGGTTGTCCACTTTCAATTTGGCACGCTTATTAATAAAGTGGTTGAAAAGTAAAAGTTGTGGTTGAGATTTGAGTAGAATAAAGTGAGATGATAAGAACCACATATTTCTTGCTAAAAAGGGAAACAAGACATTCATTTTGGGGCAATCAAAAAAGGAAAGTATGACATCCAAAATGGGACGGAGGAAGTAATACAATGTACGAGTTTTTTTCTATCAATCTTCTAACTTTCTTTTACAAAAAATTCAATCTTCTAACTCAAGTTTTTTTAATTTGTGCATTATAAAATATTTTAGGAATTAATGTTTTATTTTTCTATTTTTAATTTTAAGATAAATCGATATTACTATGTAGTTCTTAAATATTGTGTGTTAATTACTAACATGAGATTTGTGTTATACTAAAATGAGTATAGTGTAAAATAAATATGCATGGGTAAAAAATTATAAAAGAACCCGATTATATTTGTAATTCGAGAACGAAAGATTATAAATTATTTTTAATATAAACTACTACATTTGTCTGTGCATTTGAACACATTAGAGAATTCAAACAGACTTTTGAATTTTTTGATACTCATTTTGTAAGTTACGTATTTCATTTGATATTAGTTTTATGTTCATTTTAAAATGTCACATTAATGCAGATAACAAAAGTATCATTTTAGATTCACATAAGAGTTAGATACTTAGATTATGATACTCAATTGCATGCTTCAGATACTCAATAGAAGAAGTTTTGATGGTCAGCGAAAATTTCTTGATGTTCAACTAACAAAGCTTATTATTTTCATATCATTGCTCATTTGGTAAGTAATGTGTGCCCATTTTGTACTTATGTTATGCTCATTTTAACATATTATATAAATGTCTATTTCAAAAGTACCATATTAAATTACATTCACGTAGCAGCTGATCATAGACATAGGAGTACAAACCATGATACTCAATTGCATGTTTCTAATACTCAATAGAGAATGTTTGATGTTCATTAAAAATGTCTTGAAGTTCGACTAAAAACTTATGATTTTCATATCAATGCTCATTTTGTGAGTCACTTAAGCTCAATTCGTACTCATGTTATGCTCATTTTTAAAATGTCATATCAATGCATATTTCAAAAGTTGCATATTACATTAGATTCACATATTGAAGTTGATATGAGTTGATTATAGATAATATTTAACAAGTATTCTTAAAAAGGAAAAATAAGAAAAAGAAAGTGAATTCGAATATATAAAGCAGATCACGATACTCATTGTTAGGCTTCCAATGCTCAACAAAACATGTCTGATGCTCACTAAATTACATGATAATTCCTAATACTCAATAGAGGAGGTTTGATGCTCAACTAACAAATCGGTGGGCGGTCGCCCCCCCCCCCCCCCCCAACAACAAAATTTTTCACTACTCAAGTTCCCAAGACCGATTGGCTAAACGTTTTCGAACTACTCAAGTTCGAGTTTGATTTTGAATATAAATGAATGACCCGAGCTTAACGAGCTTTAAACTCGAATGCAGGCTAGATTGTCATTAGAGTAGTTATCCAAGCCGAGTTTGAGCTTAGTGATGTTTGGTTCGATCCAAACTCGAGCTTATTGAACATTTATAAATTTTAAGAATAGGATATATAGAGTAAAATATCTGCACATGCACGTCTGACAGGGAGTCCCATCCGGCAAAGCCCGCTTGAGGTGCTTTCAGGGTAAAAGAATTTAATGGATGTTTTTGAAAATGTTCTCCATGAAGTTTAGATTTCGCCTACAAAATTTCAGCTTAAAATTCAATCGGAATGTCGGTTAAATAAATTAATGAAAAATACTCTTCTTTATATATGTATATTTTGTGAAAGAATATTTGGACCTATCAAAAGTGGAATTTGCGCGGGTAACTTTCTTTTTGAATGATTGAATGCATTTCTAGAGTCCCATATTGGGATTTAGCACTGTCTAAATGATTTATTCTGGACCGGGGCTTGTCAAAATAAGCAATATAAAAAGTGCAATGTTTTTCAATAATTTATTTAAATGACTTCATGATTTATAGGGAACGCTTCTAATGACAACCACGAGAACTCCACTTTTAACTCAATGTGATACACTATAACATTTGTATGTTACCTTTTTTGTATTGATGAAATATTTACAAATTCGCCACCTATTTATTTGATGTTGTCATGTTTTGAAAAAGTGTAACGTATAAAACTTGTAGTGTATTGCATTGAGTTAAAAGTGGAGTTCTAACGGTTCTCGCGTTAAGCATGATTCTCATTTGATTGTAAATATGCAAACCATTCATTTTTTTCCCCGAGTGTGATGCACTATAAAGTCTCTCTGTTGCACTTTTTCATATCGACATAATAACTTTGACTTATTTACGAAAATGAAAACGGCATTTTTTTTAATTGACTTGGCTCGACCAATGTTCAAAAAGTGCAACATATCACCTTTAAAGAGAATCACATTGGGGAAAAAGTGAACGGTTTGCACTTTTCACGTTAAAAGTGTTTTTTATTATTTGATCCAAAACCATATATATTTATATATATATATATATAATAGTAAAAAACATAAACAAATTAAAAAAATATGGATGTCTTTACCAATTACCACTGCCTCTACTGCCTGTCTGCCTCCCCGCACCACCACCTCCGAACGGTGTAAAACAATTCCATTTTTTTTGTAAAAATGCCATTTTTTGTAAAAAAATGTCATTTTTTCTGAAAATGCAAAAAACTTGCATATTACTCTTTGATAATGTCAAAATTTTCATTGAAACTGTCATTAATATGGCATTAGTAATGCATGTGGCATTTGTTTTCACAAAATAAATCATATTGGGGTAATTGATTGAAATAAAATACCATCAATACTTAAATTGTAGGTTAGTAATTAAAAATACAAATAATTACATATATATGACGAAATAAATGTAATTTACAAAAATGTGATTAGTGACAATAGTAGTAACTTCATCATAGTAACTTATGTTTAATTTTTACACTTAATTAACTGACTATGAGATTAAACCGTAGTAACTAATCATTATATTTTTGTAAATAAATTTCATTTCAATAATATTTTTAAAACAACTCTTAAAACTTTTATAATAAAATTTTGAATCATATCATATCTATGTTGGTAATACAAATTTAGAAGCACCGAAATCTATGCCTCGTTACGGTAGTTGGTTTTTGTTTCTTTAGCCTTATCTTTAGAACCATTTGGCGGGCATAAGTCTCTGTCTTCTAGCTTTTGTATTGTTCAAAAAGTCTCTAAAAGCTTCTAGTTATATGTTTGACATGACAATTTTAAGAGCTTTTCAAAAATTAAAAGATCTTTTTTGAGATGCTACAAAGAGTAACATCTGAAAAAAGCCCGTGACTTTTAGTACGTAGTATTAATTAGTCCTAACAGCTTGTACCAAACCGAACTAAATCAAATAGTCAGCTTTTTACCAAACAGCTACCACCTTTTCTTTTTAAGATCTTTTCAGTCACTAAAAGCTAACAATTATTAAAAAGCTCATAAAAGTATCTTTTCAGCTAGTTGTGCCAAACATACCCCAAATTTCGCTCTTTTTGCTTGTCATAGAATAAACACTATTAAATAAAAATAGTTTAGTATTAAATTATAATTAGGTATATCATCGTAATTGTTATGAAAAATAGCCTTTTATATGCCGATTGCTCAAAAACATCTATTTTTCTAGTTGAGTTTTGGCTTTGATCGATTTGTGTAATGGTGGCCTGGTGGTATGTATAGAAATTTGGTAAAGTATGTGAGAAATACTACTCCTATTGATTTTGCTCTCTTATGTAATATAGCAAGAAATAAACTTGACCATAAATTTAAATTTTGCTCTCATAAATGATCCAGACAAACCCGCCAAACACCTTTCTATACTCCGTAGTTACTACTTTTTCTTTTTCGTTTTGGTTGGTGTGATAGAATGCTATCATGTATAACAAATACCCATAACATTAATAGTTGTTATTTGAAAATTTGGTGCCCCATATACTAAAGGGGCCCTAGGCATATGCCTAGGTGCCTTACCCCTATATCCGGTTCTGGCGACCTCTAAGTATGCCTCATCCAGTCATTCGAACTTTAATTCTCAACCTCCATAGACCGGTAGCTAGATCGAGATTCGAGAAGTAAGCAGATAGAGTTGTGTTACACACACAGGGAGGAAAAAGGAAAGAGAAAAGCAAAAGAATAGAAATAACAAAAAAAAACATAAAAAAGAATAGAAAATTGTAATAAAAAAAAAACCAAGTGGACATTATATAACCGGAGAACTGGTTGTTTACGGGTTAAATAGTCAATTTGATTATTTTCTAATACTTCGCATACTTGATTGATTCATTAAATAGTATATGGACTCAATTGACTTTTTTCGTAAAAGTATATGGACATTTGACAGTTTTCCCTTTAAAAAATATTTTATTAACTTATTATTATTTTTGTACGAATTTTTATTATTTTATTATGAACTAAAATATTTCAAAAGCTACAAGGTACATTTGTCTAATCACACATAATTAGTCATAGTGAATCAAAAACAATGTGTCCTATTTGCGATTGTGGATTATCTTTTATTTACTTCTATTTAGATAATTAACTCTATTTATTTTCACCTGGACCGTACCAGTGTTGTGGTGCCTATGCGGCCATTCATCCTTCCATAATTTAAACTAAATTTGCATCGGATGTGCCGTAGGTTCTGGGGAGTGAGCTATTTAGGGTCGTGAAAGAAAACTTTGGTGGGAGCTGCAAGAAACTTGTGGAAGAGAAGGTTCTTCCGGTGGCCGGCGATGTTTCCTTTGCGGATTTGGGGATTGAAAACTCGAAGGTGAAAGATGAAATATTGAGGGAGGTTGATATCATAGTCAACTCTGCTGCCACAACCACATTTGACGAGAGGTACTTAATAAATATGGAGTATATATAAAGAAGATGCTCAAGATAATCATCTAAATATTTCACCGCGAAAGACACCAAATGGCCTTGGCCGAACGGGGTCTTGTCAGAACGTCTTGATATGAACTGTCCTATGTATAGATTGAATCTGGACGGTTGGATTGTATCATGTGAAACTGAATTGTGTATTTGGTGAAGCTGAAATATGTTTTAGGTTAATTGAAATGTGCAGAATAAAGGTAAAACTCAAATGTGCATAATGTGAAATTGAAATGCGCAAAATAAAAGACACACAAATGCCACCACATCGTAGTTTTTATTATGCACATTTAAATTTCACTTAATGTACAATTTAGCTTCACATAATGTCATTGTGTCATACCTTTTGTGTTACACATTTCAATTTCATGTAATGCACATTGTAGTTTTAACTAATGCACATTTAATTTCACCTAATACACAATTCAGCTTCACATAATGTCACTGTTGTACCTTTTGTGATGCACATTTTGATTTACCTAATGCATATTTCAGTTTCACCGTAATGCACATTTAATTTCATAGAAAACAATCTAACGCTATAGATTCATTCTCATTTCTCTCCTAAGATCATTTTCTCATTTGAACCTCACTATCTCTCTCTCTACACACACACACATATAGGGGAAGGATCAAGTACAAACTGTGCTTATTGTGCAAATGTTTGTACGATGCATCTTTACGTTTTTTGTATTGCATATTGAAGTTCAAAGTCTTGCATATTATTCAGCCACAAAATTGCAGTTGCATATTAACGTTCAAAAAGTTGCATCCTAAAAAAGTTGGCTTTTATTACAAAAATGTCACCTTGCTTTTATAGCCTTTAGATCAACTCATCGGATGGTCAAGATGAGTTTGTAGTTTGTAAATTAAGGAGGCTTTGTATTTTATCTCTATTATATATATATATATATATATATATAGGTAAGAGATCAAATACAAACCATGCTTAAAATACTAACCTACAAACTCAATAATATGCAACACTTTGAACTTCAATATGCAGTAAAAATAATGTAAAGATGCACACTGTGAATTTCAATATGCATTACAAATAATATGCGACACTTTGAACTTTAATATGCAGTACAAATAATATGCAACACTTTGAACTTCAATATGCAGTACAAATAATGTAAAGATGCACAGTTTGTGATAGTTTGTAGGTTAGCATGGGAAGACTAGTTTGTATGTGATCTCACCCCTATATATATATATATATATATATATATATATATATATATATATATATATATATATATATATATAGTACTCTTCCGGTCAGGTATACCTGACCGGAGCCCCGTCCAGCCTCCTCCTTTTGGGGGCCTTCCCGGTGGTATTGTTTGCTCAAATTTTTTGTGTATGTTCCTCATCAAGTCTAGTTCATCCATACCAAATTTCAGCAAAAAATTCAATCGGGAAGGTCGTCAAATGATTTTTGCAAGTTAACTGGTCCGGAAAATACATATTCCGGACCAGTTAACTTGCAAAAATCATTTGACGACCTTACCGATTGAATTTTTGGCTGAAATTTGGTATGGATGAACTAGACTTGATGGGGAACCTACACAAAAAATTTGAGCAAAAAATACTACCGGGAAGACCCCCAAATGGAGGAGGCCGGACGGGGGGAGTGGTCCGGCCTGGCCGGACCTGAATATTATATATATATGCACACATATATGTATATTTATATATATGTGTGTGTGTATTTATATATATGTATATATATGGCGTGGTTCAAATAAATAGTGGTCTCCCCGTGCAAAATACGAATGCTTGTACTTATTGTCATGCATGGTGCACTTTTTGCTTCAAAGATTCAAAGATTTTGGTCAATTTTATACACATTGCTGATAAATTTTGAGCCACTTGATCATAAATTGAATGCATAAGATCTATTCTTACTTTTCATGGCAAGCACACTTTTTATTGGGAAAAGGTGCAAATAGGCCCATGTACTAACAAAAAAAGGTCAAATAAGCCCTTATTTAAGATGCTCTGTCCGGCCGTCGCCATTTGAGGTGGTTCCCGGTGAAATTTTTTGATGGGGAAATTTTTTGAGCATCTTATTCATCAAGTCTAGTTTACTTATACCAAATTTCAGCTAAAACTTCAATCGGGAAGGCATTCAAATGAATTCTTGAAGATAACTGCGCAGTTATTTTCAAGAATTCTTTTGAATGCCTTCCCGATTGAAGTTTTAGCTGAAATTTGGTATAAGTAAACTAGACTTGATGAATAAGATGATCAAAAAATTTCATCAAAAAATTCCACCGGGAACCACCCCAAATGACGACGGCCGGACAGAACCTCCTAAATAAGGGCTTATTTGACCTTTTTTGGTTAGTAAATGGGCCTATTTGCACCTTTTCCTCTTTTTATTTGAACTAATCCATGTGTGTGTGTGGGGTCCCTAGTAGCGGTAAAAGTCTAAGGGGGTGAAGACTTTAAAAGTTTTTGCTTTTCAATGTCTTTTTCTCTTTTGTAGTTTCTTCTAAACCTTCTGAAACGTTATAGAATGCATGGCAGAAATCTTGACCTCTTTTATCAATCGGGTTACACATTTTCTATTTATAGAAATAATGACTTTTTATTTATGGTAAGATGACCAAGGAGTGTTTCAAGAACTCTTTTGTGACTTTTGTTTGAGTGAGAGTCTATTTGAGGTTTGGGGAAAGATGGAAGGTACAACAAACCATTGAATAGATATCAGCTGGCTGGACAACGAGCTGAACAACAGGGTTACCAGCAGGCTGTTGGTAGGCTACTGTTAGCTTTGAATCTTAAATTCTTTAGATGGTTAAAATGGACTTTAAAAAGGATGTAATTGACGTTTAGCTGAACTAGATAGAGCTGTTTAAGCTTTGGACACTTGGAGGATATTAACTGTTCAACTTAATTAGGTATACAAACTGAGTTTGTATTAATGCAATTTAGTTGAGATTGAGATTGAATTGGCTTATGGGCGCAACGAGGACGTTGCGATCCTAAGTGGGGGTGATTGTAACACTTGAGATTAATTTAAGAGGATTAATAGTACTACTTATACTAACAAGATGCATCTCCTTTTAAGGGAGCTCATTATCTAAGAACTCCAAAGTTAAGTGTGCTTGCATGGGAGTAGTCTTGGGATGGGTGACCCTCTGGGTAGTTTCTCAGGGCGCGCATGAGTGAGAACAAAGTGCGCGGTAAAGACTAGTGGCGGTTTGTGAGGAAAGTACTAGAGGTCTGGAGTAACTACCTCGGGTCCTGCGAGGCTGAGTGTTACACTTAATGTATTGAATCTTGCTTCACTCAGAGATTTGGTGAATATATATGTTAGTTAATTGTCAGTAGACACATAGTCTAACCTGATGCTCTTCTTTTCAACATTCTCTCGTATAAAATTAATCCTGATATCAATGTGTTTGGTTCTCGAGTGAAGCATTGGGTTTTGAGTGATTGTGATAACACTTGTGCTATCAGACAAAATGCTAACTTCCTTCGCTACTACTCCATAGTCGCTATGTTGTTGTTTCATTTAGAGTATTTGTGCACAGCAGTTGCCAACTGCTATGTATTTTGCTTCAGCAGTGATAATAGATATAATGTTTTGTTAGAGTTTTGTTTCTTGTTGAATAGAGACACTAATCTTCCACCTAACATCTGGCATGTTCCTGCGGTGCTTTTCTTATCAATCTTGTATCCATCAAAATCAAAGTCTAAATAGCCCATAAGTTCAAAACTTCTTTCAGTTGGGTATCGAAGACCAACATTTTGATTGCTTTTTAGGTACCTAAGAATCTTTGTGACTGTAAGTAGATGACTTTCTTTGGATTTAGATTGGAATCGTGTATATACCCCACTTGATTAGGATCCACTTATACTTATGTGTCGTGTAAGATCAACATTTTTGTCATCTTCATCAATATCAAGTCCCTAGGATGTGTTGATGGGTATCTTTACTGATGTTTTGCCTTCCATCCTCAATTTCTTCATTAAATCTCTGGTGTATTTAGCTTAATTGATGGATATGCCTTGCCGAGTCTATTTGACCTCTAACTCTGTCAGCCCAAGAAATAGTTCAATTCTCACATTAAGCTCATTTCAAACTTCGATTGCATGAGAATTGAAAATTTCTCACATAGTGCCTTGTCTGTGCATCCAAAGATAATGTCATCAACATAGACTTTAACAAACAGGATGTTTGGCCCTTTTTGCAGTTTGAATAGAATATTGTCTACTTTTCCTTTAGTAAAGTTACTTTCTACCGAAAATTGAGATAAAGTCCCATACCATGCTCTGGGTGCTTGTTTTAGCTCATATATATAGCCTTCCTCAATCGGTATACTTTATTTTTCCCGTTCCTTATCTCAAAACCAGGAAGCTGATCCACGTATACCTCCTCGATCTTCTAGCAGACCGTTGAGAAAAGCACTCTTTACATCCATTTCATAGACAATAAAGTGCTTGTGAATGGTATATGAAATGTAAATTATACATCTTGTATAATACATACTTGTAGAGTTACAAGAATTAATACATACTTGTATATTTGAAACTTAAAGCAAGTCTAATTATACAATATTGAAACACTACATACTTGTGAAATACTACAACAACAATTTTGGTGTTGTGTGTAGATATGATGTTGCAATGAGGATTAACACATTGGGAGCTATGAATGTCCTCAACTTTGCCAAGAATTGTTTGAAAGTAAACACTCTTGTCCATGTTTCCACTGGTGCGTACGTTTCGATTTTCAATCCATTTCTTTTATTCTAAAAAATATATGAATACATTTCTTTATTCTACTCCTTCCGGGATAAAAAAAAACATTTCTTTATTCTACTACTATCATATATAGATGCATGTATTATGTTATGATATGATACAACATTATAATTAAGCGCAACTACTAAGACGACATGTACGTAACTACACACACTACGTATTATATAGATGCGGATGCATTGAGTAACTTATCGATCAATGCATGCATATGTTACTTATGCGTGCACTCATGCATGCACAAGATATAAGCTTAATTAGTACATGTAGATAGTGACCTTAAACCATGTTAATTAATTAAACAATAAAATTGCATGCATGCAGCATATGTTTGTGGTGAGGGGAGTGGAATTGTACTCGAAAAGCCACTGGTTCTGGGTGAGTCACTGAATGGAAGTCGTGATTTGGACATAGATGAAGAGAAACGTGTGATAGGAGAGAAGTTAATGGAACTTCACTCCCACAATGCAACAGAAAAAGAGGTGAAATCTGCTATGAAAGATTTGGGAATTCAAAGGTATGTGAGCTTGGCCTGTCCTACAAGACATGCATCCATCTCCTAGCTAGTTTACGCACGCACATCGATTCTAATGAAAATTCCTTTTAAAATATAATGAACAATCGGTCATTTAATTTATAAATGACAACATGTATTTTAAAATTAAAGGGGGTCGGAGGATTCTCATTAAATAGAATTCAATCCTCCCCGACTTATAATATATATATATATATATATATATATATAGAAAAGTTCAGGTCCGAACGTTCAGACAGGACCCTCCGTCCGAACATCCCCGTTTGGGGCCCTTCCCGGTGGAATTTTTTGATGAAATTTTTTGAGCATATTCCTCATCAAGTCTAGTTTGTCCATACCAAATTTAAGCCCAAAATTCGATCGGGAAGGCATTCAAATAATTTTTTGAAGTTGACTGCGTTTTTATATGTACATTTTGACGCAGTCAACTTCAAAAAATGATTTGAATGCCTTCCCGATCGATTTTTGAGCTGAAATTTGGTATGGACAAACTAGACTTGATGGGGAACATGCTCAAAAAATTTCATCAAAAAATTCCACCGGGAAGGGCCCCAAATGGCCATGTTCGGACGGCGTTCGGACAAAAACGTGCTGGACAGGATCATTTCTCTCTCCCTCCCTCTCTCTCTCTCTCTCTCTCTCTATATATATATATATATATATATATATATATAGTTTTTTACCTATATATTACCAATAGTATGTAAGTTTACAAAAATGTGACTCACTCTTCACTAATACAAATACGTAGGGCCAATGTTCTAAAATTCGCTAGGCGCTAGTCGGGCGGTCAAGCACCGCCTAGCGCCTAGGCGGGCTAGGCGCCGATTAGTCGCCGACTAGGCGGCCAACTCGGATTCAACATAATATCAAAAAATAAAATATTCTTGGCATAAAATACTACATTACACAAATAAAGTTTATCCCACTTTATTCATCCTTATATTCAATAATGTTAATGTGTTAAAAAGAAATGCAAAAAAGATATGCAATAATGCTGCCTATATTCATCCCACTTGGGATTTGGGAAACAATAATGCTATGAATAAAAGCAACAAAATAAATGTTGTTTGGAGGGGGTGGAATACCCATTAGCCAGTCCTATGTCCTTAGCAACCAATCACAACACAGTTATAAACAAAGCTAATCTCAACTAATTGCAATTGGTGCATGTAGAATTAATCATTTTTTCTAAAATTAGTTACCACAGTAATTCATACAGAGAGCTCTTGTCCATCGATGATTTAATGTGTACTCAAATTATGGTATGTTAACTTCAATAATAATTCGGGTATCTCTTTTAGAAAATCTACATGTCTGACTTACAGTAAATTGTTACTCGCCAGTGCTTTAAAAATAGACCTTTGTTGAGAATACAGACTTTTTGTTAAGCTGGATAGTAGCACTTTCTAGTCTCTTAATTAGAACGAAATGCAAATAACTGTTTTAAAAGGTTTTAAAAAACTTATATTTTGATTTTTTTAGTCTCTACATAATTGTATTCCATGAACCATTAAACTGTCTAAGCTCATGCTCCACAAGTGACATAATATAGTAAGACTTGCACATAAGCGACATAAGTCAGTCACATAACTAAGCATTTACAGCCTCAAAATACCTACAAAAAACAGTAATGACTACATACACAAGCAAGTTTTTCATTATCACTACAGCAATTAACATCCTAGCTTTACAGAAAACTCAGAACTGAAAACCAAGTATGAGCCCTAATTGCGAACTAATCAGCACATATAATTACACAACCGGTCTGTCACAATGCTCTTACAAAAAACACTGAGATAATATTCCAAAACAGTCATCAATATAAGTTATTTCATTCTACATTGAAATAAATTACTAGTCAAAGTTTGCATTGCTTCCTTGAGGTATTTTATCAAACACCATAGATGCATTCCAAATTCCTATCAATATTAGGCTACAATTTCTCAATCTATATAAGTCAATCTTGCTGCTCATGTAAATAAATATGATTTACATAAAAGGTTACATACTATCTCAACTAAGTATCGTGTCTCTTATTTTTTGGAACCAAAAGAAAACTCTTGTTCATGAACAGAGTCTAAGGGTGAAAGTTAGGGTCAACTAATCATTCAATGACGAAGCTAAAAGATAGAATTGGATTTCTTCACTTTTATAATCCACACTTACACAGCCGAGCTGGCAGTAGGATGTATGTAAAGTGCCTAGTGATCATACAGTCATGCTGAAAAAACAAATAAATGTATAGGAGTACGTATGCTCCCTTTGCTAGATCCTTAATGCTGCCACATCCTCTAATCAGAACACGGCAGTCTGTAAGTGCTTCCACACGCTTAAGAGAGTTCCCTCTAGGCCCAAGAAGGCGACCAAAAGAAATATACAATGAAAATACCTTTACGACTTCACCTAGACGGCTGGACTGCTGGAGAATGGAGAAGTTGATTCAATACTCAAAGAAAAGGAAATCCAGAAATGGAAGAGAAGAAACTCAATACTCTTCACTATGGCGGCCGTTCCATCGCAGAGAATAAAGGTTTGTATTAGGTCGCAGAAACGCACGCCCAATTTTGTGGAAAGAGAAGGGAAGAAAGAGCCGTCCTCGTCATCTGGCTGTAAAAAAGTCAAAAACAAAACTTTTTTTAGAAAAGGTTGGAGCGAGCATCATCTATACTAGGCGGCCGATTAGTCGCAGGAACGATTACATAGCCGAAAACATGAAAATCAATAAGGTAGGTGTCCGCCTAGCGAGTTTCCCCCGCCTAGTCGGCCGATTATAGAGACTAAAAAAGACTATAGGGGTTAGTTACTCTGAGAACACCTTCTTACGAGAGTAAAAAAGAACAAAATCTATCCATCAAAGATATCAAACCGAAGGCTAAGATCGAATATAAATTAATTGGGTAGCAATGTAATTAAGATGACCTTTGAAGGGTTATTTATAATCATAAAAGGAACCGTTTAACACTAAGGGTAGATGTGTAAAACTCATGGTCAATTAATTTTGATAATAAACAACGGCCACTCAAATTTCCATATAAATAGGATCAAAGCATTAAATGTTGGACAATCTATTAATACGGACCACTCTTTTCCTTACATAGTTGACTTATTTAGGTTACATTTTTTTAAATAATACTGCTTACATAATTGCAATCAAAGCATTATATGAAATTTCTCAATTGCGTGGATGCACAATTAAACATATGAATTTGCACTTCCGATGGTGAAGGTTGCACCCAATGTTTCTAAATTAATGCATTGAAAAAATAGGATCAAATTTAATTGATTTTAACTATCTTATTGAGTTCTCTTTCTAAATAGTATTAATCTGCACTTAACCTACACATTTGTGCACTTTCATAGATTTAAAATAAAAATAATTATAAAATAAAAATTTATAGAAATATACAAGGATATTTGCAAACTATCTACTATAATGTGCATTTAAATATATGCAGTAGTGCATTATTAGTGACACTTTCAAAATTTTATATTGATACATATATGCTACTACCTCCGGTTTTTTTTAATCTTCACAGTTTGACTTCACACAAAATAAGGAAAGAAATTTGACTTTACTGTAGAGTACACTGTTGAGGCATTGTTTGACACTGTTTGGCACTGTAGAGACATTGTTTGGCACTGTTGAGACACTGTTTGGGACTGTTTGGCACTGTTTTGATGTAGATTTCTTTGCCAAAAAAGGAAATAAGGAAGTATGAAGTTTATTTTAGACCGTCCCAAAAAGGAAAGTGTGAAGTTTATTAAAAACCGGAGAGAGTATTAGTTTGCACTTTGTACGCATTATGTTACACTTTATTTATAAACTTCTGCCTATAAGAGTTGTGCACACTCATACATAAAGGTTGTGCACACTCATATGCTTTAAACAAATAATAACAGTGCAAACTTTTAACTAATAAGAGCACTTTAAATACATATAAATGTGCACTATTATTACATCGTACTTTTAGAACATAGAAAAAAATAAAGATTAATTAAAAGTTTGCTCGAAAAAAAAGATTAATTAAAAGTAATATGATAAACCTTATCAAAAGAAAGAAAATATCAATATAGAAACACATGTAAGTCAATTACACACATAAGTCAATTGCCTAATAATAAAGATGTGGCATTAATTGCAATGATTGATACGTAGTGTTAAATATAGAAATATTCATAAAATGACCAAAGGACCCTATAAGTGCGTACACGTTCCATTGAAAAAAATTGATGATCTAATGGTTCTCATTTATTCTTTTTCCCTCTCCTAAGATTAAGTTCTCACATGAACCTAAATCTATAGGTTCAAATGAGAACCATGCTTAACGTGAGAACGTGAGAACTCTACTTTTAAGCAGATGTGATGTACTATATCATGTATATGTTGCACATTTTCATGTTGACAAAATATTTAGAAATCTGTCACCACATTTACCACATTTATTAGATATTAGCACGTTTTGATCAAAATTTAAAAAGTGCATTAGATGAGCCTCATAGTGCACCGAGATGTGTTAAAAGTGCATGGTTCTCACATTCTCACGTTAAGCACGGTTCTCATTGGAACCGCTCCATATATATATATATATATATATATATATATATATATATATATATATATATATATATATATATGTATGTATATATATATATATATATATATATATATATATATATATATATATATATATATATATGTATGTATATATATATACATACATATATATATATATATATGTATATATATATATATACATATATATATATATATATATATATATATATATATATATATATATATATATAAAGGGAGCAGATCAGGTGAGAAGTGCTCTTAGGCTGAGAACTGCGAAGTTTAAATTTTAGACTAAATATAGGAACTTTTAACCAATAAATCATAACTTATAGACCCCTCGAAAATAATTACAAAAATGTCACCGCAAAAAAATAATTACGAAAACCTAGAAAAAATTTTGACG